AAACCCCTAAACCCCTAAACATCTCCAAGCTGCTGAGAGGATTCAAGCTCCGAAACCTCGCAGTAAAGCCGGGGCCTCTGGGCTTCATTGTCCCCTTTTTGGGGCTATATAGGGGAAGATGTGATATGTAGGGGTAATATAGGGTTATATATGTGTATATTGGGTTATATAGGGATAATGGAAAAGAAAATGGAAACTACTAGCATATAGGGTAATATAGGGTTATATATGCATATTGTGTGGTATAATGGAAAAGAAAATGGAAACCCCTAGACCGTTCAGGGTTTAGGGCTCAGGGTTCTTAAAAGCTTTCCTCAGGTCTATGGGTCCTTGTAGAGGGAGGTAGAGCACTATGTAGCCGGGATTACGGTTTCAGAGTAGGTTCTCGAAACGGAGGATCCCCGCAATCCAAGGGATGTATGTGGATTGCGACGGGGGTCAAATGTGACGCATCTTGCTGATTATGTTGCGGCTTGTTTCAGAAAACAACATATTTTGCTGGGGATCCCAAACCTTGAGAATCCCATGGCATCGTCCCGCAAATTGTAGTTTCCCAAAATAAGGGTGCCCCAAAATGTTATATTCCTTCTTCCCTAATTTTGGGAAACCCCAAATGATCCCGATACACCCTCGTAACCCCAAGCCTTGGGCTACGAGGTCGCCTGCAATGCCAGTGAGCCCAAGGAACCCGCCGAAACGTGGAGTTCGCTGCGAAAATCGGATCCAGAAATGGTCGGCAGTGCTTTAGGGTAAGTTTAGGGTTGGGCTTGGGGATTTGAAATTTGAGCTTGGGGGGTTGCTTTGCAGGTCAGCGCGTGGGGCAGTGCATTGGGCTTCACACAGATTCCAAAGAAGACACTTCTTACTTCTATTCTGCATTGGCGGATTATCAAAGAGATGCAAATTGAGGTCGCACCTTGGTGCGCAGCTATCATACTGCACAGCAAGCATTCAAAAACCGGCCCCAGGCGTAGCTGAAAGGAGCAGGGAGGAATTACCCTTGACCTTACACCCTAGACCTTAATCTGCAGAACCGCAGCCTGTAATTCTGAATCCTTACTCATTCTATTTCAGGAGCACGAGCTGGAGCAGGAGCTTTTCCTGAAGCGACAGCTGCGGCTGGCCGCTGAGGAGCTTGACATGACTCGCTCGTAGGCCAAAATTCCAGATTCAGGGTCTTACGTGTATCTTATGATTTGTGGCTGTAGATTGTTTTTTCTGTTGGGTGAGTTTTACTGCAGGTTTGCAGAGGATATTGTCGCGGATGTCATCCCATCTCTGTAGCGACATTGTGAGATTAAACTGGAGCTCCACAATTTGAGCGAGCAGCCCGTTTCGTTGGGTAGAGAAGTCTGGAGGAGGTGTCCTGAAAATTGCTTGTAGGTGTCGCTGATTTTAGCCACCATAAAAGGCCGAGATGCTGTTCTAATGCTTATCTCACCAGGTTGCAGCGCAGGTAGACAAACCTTCCATGCCAGGGGCTATCAGCATACAGGTGGACGTTCCTGATCGGTCAGGCGGGATTAGGCTCCGACGATCATGTGCTTCCACAGACACCCGAAAGTGCCTTGCAGGTGCACATAATGTTGCGTGGTACTGAATGATCTCCATGGCTCTTTCTCTTCCTAAAGTCCCTGACAACATTGAGAGGATGGTGCACATGTATCAGGGCATACTACCTCTGAGAAATTCCATTCAAAAATCCTCAAGAATTTCCAGAAACGCTCAGCGTGACTCAGCATCTCTGAGTACTGATGGTGAAGGTTGATTTCGAAGGAGAAGCCTATTGTACGCATCACTCTCCTGCCGCAGCGCTTTCTTTTGCGTTTCTTTCCTTCCCGGGCGTTTTTGAAGAGGAAAGGAAACCCACCACGTTTCCTACAGAGTCGGGCGTCGGTGGTGGGATTCCAGGTTCTTCAAAACCCGGAAGCCAAGATCTTTTGCCCAACGCTTCTGGAAACCCAGAAGCCCAAACCACCAAGCCTGAGTGCAGCACCCCAAGACATTGGGCCTTGATCCACCCAGCACTGTTCAAGAAGCCTCAAAAGGATGAAGGCCTCCCCAATACATCACTCCGAAGTTTAAAAGACAGTGCTAGTGCTCCTTAGGGAGCCCTTCTCAGTTTTCGTTTTTGTTTCGGGGTTACATCCTAAGCGACCCTGATCCCTATGTATCCCTATATGAGCTGTAGTCTCAACTCCTTGAAGGGGGTTATTTAGGGCATTATATAGGGACTACTATAGGGGTCACTCAGGCGGACACTAGGAGTTTACATTATTATAGGTCAATATAACCCCTATAGATCCTATATAATTCCAGTTTCCATGTCATTGTTCATGTTCTTTTCCATTTGATTCTCCATTATAGCAGGATAACATAGTATTGGGACATGTACGATATAGTAGTTTCCATTTTCCATTATCCCTATATAACCCCAATATACCATATAGGTTTTGACCATAGCTCATGTATTCGAGAGGTCTTGAAAATTCACACATTCCCTGAAAAGGAGTTCCGTGTGGAGCAGGCCCGCAGCTTGGACAGTTGTTTGGGCTCCGATGGGGTTTAAGGTTTAGGGTTTAGGGTTCTCTCTTACTGATGGAAAAGAGGGTGAGTGGATCTTTACAGCAGTACCGATGAGAGTATCTGACTGTATAGGGGATGCTTATAGTGATCCTTGTCATAGTGGGGAGCGGGTCCTCATAACAAGCCCTATCATCGTATCAAGTCATGTTTCCTCCCTAAAGGAGGGGAGTTTCCAATGAGGGGAGTTTACATAAAGAGTATATAAGGGGTATATGGGAAACATGGGGAGTTATATACGGGGTAGCTAGGGCTTATGCAAGGTGCCTGTATGGCAACTCACCTCTTGTAATTGCCTTGGACATTTCATCAAGACAGTTCTTCCCTAAACCCTAAACATAGTTCGGAAGATGAGATGAGATCACTTGGGTCCAATTGGGGGAAATATTAGGGTTACATTGGCGTTATATAGGGATAATGGAAAAGAACATGGAAACTACTATAATTGGTTATATAGGGTGTACATATACATAGATATTGGGGTCATATCCCCATATTGGGGCAACGGAAAAGAAAATGGTAACTACTGTTGCGCCAAGCATGGTACTCAAATTATTTCAACATGTGCTGGGGAGGCTTGAATGTATGTTCGACTGGGAGTGATCCATCACTCCGATTGGGATTTTGCCGTCTCTCTGACCGGTGGGATCCCGACTTATATCAAGTGTCTGAGTAGATCATGCTAGATCAGATGGCCCCTTGATTTTGAGACGTACTGCTGTATAGCCCGGGGCCCAGGCTCAGCACATACCAGGTCCCTAGCAAAATCCCAAATCACTAAGTCCCCACGCGGTTGCCACAAAATGACCCAGACTTTGGGTACTGCCCCCACTCAGTAACAGTTGGATAATACTTTTAATATGGCTCTATATAGCCCTTAATAGGACCCCTAGGGGGCAGTACCCAACCCAGACTTCTGAAAACCCTTCACAGGAAAGCCTGGAGCACAGGCTTAAATTGCGGCCTTAGCTCCTGAGAGCTTGAGCTGCAAGCCTACTTGGAGGGTCAGGGGACTTGGTAAGTAGGTTAATAATAGGAGTGATCGGGGTTGCTATATGACTTATAGGGGTCACAAGTATCCTTACAAACTCCCCCTGGCTCTCCAAGTACACTCCTGGATATGTGGGACTCTTCGACCGTGAGCCTGAACGCTGAAGACCGTAAGCCTTCAAGCCCTCAAACCAGAACTCACCAATTCTAAGCCTACGACCCCAAGGGCAGAACCCCTTGAAATATGGTACTCTACAGTCTAAAGAACCCCTGAACCCTTGAGCCCTGAACTCTTGGCCCATCGTGCCGCTGCGGAGTTCCTCAAAACACTCACCAAAAACATCACGACAATCCTTTATCAAAGCGCTTGAAGTCCCACAATCTTTCAAAATCCTTGAGAACTGCCGGTATGCCTCGAACCTCTGATCGCATACCCGCTAACACCGGCCCCGCCACTCCCTGATAACAGATCTTCCCCTAAGAATGTTTTTTTAGGGGATTGTTTTTTAGCGGAGGGGATTAGGGTTTAGCGTTTTTAGCGGAGGGGATTTAGAGTCCCCTTTTGCAGGCAGAGAGTGCAGCTGTGGAGGCCAGCGTGCACATGGTCATTTTCTCAAACTCGGGTGCCCTTTACATGCCGGAAAATGGTGCGATCCGTGAAGTACCGGGTTTGAAACAGTAAAACGGGATGGGTTCTGAAAACAGGGAGGTTTTCATAAGTTACACTTACAATCCTTGACAGAGAATCCTCACAATCCCTGTGTACTTCGGCACATTCCTACAGTCCCGATCATTTTCGTGAAGCCCCCATCTGGACACAGAATTCATGTTCGTTTGGATCTCGTCAGCAGCGTTGGCCCGATCCGACCCAAAGTGGAAGGGTAGCGGATGCTGGTAGGTGTTGGTGCACTTGCAGTTTGTGCTTTAGGGACTTGAGTCGAAGTGGAAGGTAATTAATTATGTCGCAGGAACATCAGCAAGAACGGTGGAAATGTAGGCAGAAGAGTCCGTGACCTTACTGGCTGACGCCAGCATCCTGTCTCACTTATCACCTGCCTGGTGGTTTCCTGGTGGTGTCATTATGTAGTCACGTAGTGCTGTCATAGCAGCCTTGGGCTACAGGTCTCAGCCTTCTTTAGCTTTGACATTCGGGAGTTTCTGCACATCCTACTAGCGCCCCCCCGGAATCCCCCCGAAATGATTTTGTTGTAGGCCGTCCCAGGAGGTCGTGGGTTTGGAGAACCCCCCACAATAGCTGCTGGAACCGCTATGGGCCTCCCAGATGAGCAGCTGCTGGATCCACAGGCAGTGTCCAAGGCTTTGCGATGCGTCATTTGTGCGGAGGCAGGGCTGTAAAGTCTACAAACCCTGTAGAAATGATGTGAGACTTTAAGCCATGAAGCAGAGGATTGGTGGGATTTGTTGCAGACTGCTTCAGGATGTTTAAAGAACACATCCCCACCGAAAGCGGCCAAGTCACAGAGAACCCTACACCTTTTACCCGACCACCAAACCAAGCTCCAGGTGTTCGTGAAGCCTGTGTCGTCGATATGCCAGCATGTGTTTTGCCGGGCTTGCATCGAGAGAGCCCTGCAGCAACATGCGCGATGTCCTACCTGCAGATCACCGCTGAATGCGTGGGAGCTACAGCCAAACCACCTTGTCCAAACTCTGCTGGACGAAGTGCACGTGCGCTGTCCGCGCTTTGGCGACAGCTGTGGGTGGACGGGTCCGCAAGAGGCCTTGCCCGCTCACCAGTCGACATGTTTGGTGCTGCAGCGCTCCGACTTGGCCCGAAAGCTTGCTGTGGAGCAGAGGAAGGTGCGAGAGCAGACCAGCATTATACAGGACCTCAAGACTCAAATTTCTCAACAAGAGCGAATTCTTGCCGATCTCAGGACTCAGGCCACAAGGCACAAGTTGCAGCTTGCACAAGCAAGGCAGCAGCTACGAGAGCAGGATCAGCAACTCACAAAGAAGTCCCGACTGATGCGAGCAGAGGTGGAAGCAGAAGTGAAGTTACAGTTGGCTGCCAAAGCCCAAGCTGAAGCAGACGCTCTCTCACTGTTGGGGATCTTTTTGACTTGGGAATTAAGAGGGAAAGGAGCCCTAACCTCTTCTTATCCAGAACCACAGCCACCATTCAGGAAGAAGCTGAGAAGAGGCTCCAGTCGCTCAAGTCAACTCACGATGAGCTTGTGCAGGCATTCGTCAAGGACCATCAGGGTAGGATAGCAAGCTTGAGGTTGGAGGTTGATGGGTAGAAGCGTGCAGAAGGGTGCAATCGGGCTCAACGAGCTCTGACTATGTTTGTGCCCCATCAAGTACTTCACTGCTAGAGAGCCTCAGGTTCGGGGTTGAAGCAATCGAGCCCTGTTCTTTGGTTTGTTGTTTGCACTGCGCACGCAACCCCACAAAAGACAGTTCAACCTGTCTCCGAAACCCAGAGGATCCTCAGGGCAAGACGGTCGTGATAAAGCTCGACATTCAAAAGCCCATTGAGGCCATCAAGAACACTATCATCGAAAAGACAGGCTGCCCCGAAGAAATGCTCTCGGGAAGCATTTGACTGTAATTTTGGTCTTGTGCTTGCTGACGGGACTCATGGGTGGACGGGGTCCACTCGAGAAGAGGCCCGGGAGGAGGAGATGTGCTTCTCCAGGGCCCTCACTAACACAAGAACACGGAAGCTGACATTTTGAGCTTGCTGTGGAATCCATCAGGGAGGCAACCGACCGCAACATGCAATAACAATAGCAAAAGCACGCGCGTCGGGAGTGACCCCATTCCTGTATGTACCAGAGGTTGCACACACACAATCGGCTTGCGGAAGCACTTGGTCTTTTGTTGACCTGCTTTGAAATAGGCAACGTTGCAGAGTCACCATCGGAGGGGTCAAGGGGGGTGGGATGAAGTAAGGTTCTTGTATTCGTACTTAATCGCGGAGCTAGGCGCAGACCCCTGTTCTATGCAGTGAGGTTCTGGCTCTGCCATGAAGGCAAGATCCTGGAAGAGGGAACTTTGGCATCGCAGTACCACATTTCGTCAGAGTCGACCCTCTTCATGAGGACTGGGTAGTGGGAACTTGGCATGGTTTTTTTGGGGGTCAAGGGGAAGCGTACTAGCAGGTTTCCCTTAAGCCAGTGCTTTTTGTTCAGCCACAAGCAGCGCGAAACAGTTCTTCGTGCAAGCAAGCCCGAGTAAGATTCACAGCCTTTTTTTGCCCTCAGGATGCGAGCGCATCCGTACAGCCGGAACAACAAAACTCGCTCCTGAGCCCAGCATGGTGCGTGCTGGGTTAGGATGGTTTAGGGATTTAGGGTTTAGGGTCTTAGGGTTTAGGATTTAGGGTCATCATAGCGCGAGAGTCATCACTAATTGCTATGTGGTCATGGTGGAAAGAGTATTGTAGACATTGTAGACTTGGTGGTGCCACGCTACTAGTGCAATTCTGCCCGTGTTCCGTGCTTTGTAAATGCCGCATGTCTCGATTTAACATGAATAACACATATTTTCAGTGATTTTTAGAAGCATGATTAGTACTACTATCGCTATTCTATGTCTTTGCTCTCGCCATTCTTCTTGTCAGTACCGTCACCAACTCAACATACAGTTTCTGAACAAGTCCAGACGCACAAATTGCAAAGGAATAGGACATCATAGTGGTTCACATTACCTTCACCAACTCAATATACAGTTTCTGAACAAGTCCAGACGCGCAAATTGCAAAGGAGCAGGACATCCTAGTGATTGATTTGGGGTATTGCCTACGGGAAAGCACAAGTAGCAGTTCTGACCTGGCACGAGCTGGTGGAGGAGATCATGCAATTCAACTTGCACCGATGCGACCGTTCCATTCTGCAGCTCAAAAAAAGGTGGGCCCGGGAAGCAAGGAAATTGTCAACGCAAGACCACATCTTTCAGGCCTACAGTCGGCGAGCCAACATGCAAGCCCCATCGGCCAAGATTTGTCTGCGCACGTGCGAGTCTCTCGAAATCAGGGTCTTCATGGTCCCCTTGCATAGGAGCCTTTTCATGTGAACCACAAAACCACCAAAAAAGAACCAATGAAGTGGAGAAATCCGAAGGCCCGTACCGGCAACTTTTGGGAGTCTCCTTCGAACTTTCCAAAGTTGCGGGTTCCCTTTCTCAGGGTTCGCTGGCAGGTAGGTCTTGCTTTTTTTAGCAATATTGCAGGGATCAAGGAGACCCTGTGATGTTCAGATCACACCTCTGACTATTCCCAAGCCCTATTGAACGACATGCTTATTCTGGCCCTCAAGGGGCCGTGGGCTTTGGTACTACGCGCCTTCAGCTGCATCTCCTAAGCTCAAGACATGGAATCTTGACTTGTTCGGCTAAGGCTGGGGCTGGGGTAGACGGGAGGTTCAATCGCTGCGAAGCTGAGAACCCAAAAGCTCAAACCAGGGGTTTAATCTTTGGGGGCTATAACCCAAATAATGGGAATCATGGAAGAGAAACTCCCAAACCCCATACACTCCCCCACACTAACATGGAAACCCATATAGTACCCTTTTAGAAGGACTGTAATCTTTATAGGGCCCTTTTTGGGTTTCCATGTTAGTTTCCGGGTGTGTAGGGTTTAGGGTTGACGGTTGTGAGGGGGAGGGTCCCTGAGAAGGAGCAGATGAAGTTCGCTCGCTCCGAGAGCTCTGCCCTTGAGGCGGCTGTTCAGGCAGCGCGCGAGAAGGCACTCGGGGGTTGCCGGGCAGAGGGTTTGTTTATATAGGGTTTATATAGGGCGTATATAGGGTTTATATAGGGTTTATATAGGGTTTAGGGACCAGGACATGCAATTCATGTGTAAATATATCTATAATATGGGGTGTTTCCCACTATGTGATCTTTTTTGGTGGTCCCAAGTTCGGGGGTACCTTTGTGTGGGTCCGTATAATGAGGAAATAGTTCCTTAGAATCTTTAATTATTGGCCCCCCAAGTTGTGAAAACAGCCGCATAAGTATTCATATTCCTTTTGATCTCGCCCATGTGCATAGGTTGAGGATTTGATTTGAGGCTTGGCGGCTTGGGATTTTCGGGGTGTTGAGGTTGCCGGCGCCAGATGGAAGTGTTCAAAAAGTTGGTTCAGGATCCCTCTATATGGGAGTTGCTTACTAGTGGTTAGTACGAAAGAAGTGAATATACATATATAGATGTAGTGATTATACAGGGATGATACTCCCTTATTCCCTACTTACAAGACTTACAACCAGTCAGGTTGGGAGTTGCCAGAGCAAGGGTTTGGGGTATGTCAGGGGCGCGGTTGTGCAGCTTAAGGTTTCGGGACTAGCCGGCAGCAGCTTTCAGGGTGTCATGGTGAGGGTTTCGGGTTGAAGGTATCATGTAGGGTTTCGAACTGGAACGCCAGAGGCAGAACACATGGCCAGCCATCACAAGAGAGGATGTCAGAAACCCAAAGCCCACCTTTAACCCCAATCCGCCTGAATGATGCCAGTCAGTTGTCACAGCTGTGATGAAGACGACCCTAAGCCCAGCCCCGGGTGCCTCAAAGCGGTGGGTCTGTTTGTATTGTTTCTGTACTGTATAGGGCCTTGTTCTCAAACTTAAGTGGTATGTGGGTGCAAAGGGTGAAACCTGTTTGAGAGATTGTACACCTGGCATGGAAGCCCAAAGCAGGGCCCTTAAAGCGTCCTTGTTTTCTTTTAGGCATGTATGCAGGTTCGAGAGAGTGTGCATTTCAACGCATCCGGGAAACAAGTGATCACATCCTACATCCCTCTGTACCCCAATGCTTACACCCCCCATAGCCTCAACCTCTCACTTTGGAGTAGGTGTAAAGCTCTCCAGGCCCAGGCGCTGGGAACTCGCTTGGACAGGCAGGGGCAGCGGGTGAGGCGGGCATGCAAGGACTGTCCCCTTCCTCCTCTTTTCGGGAGCTGCCCAAATCTTCACGCGGTGTATTTTTCCGCGATAGGAGATTTTTAAATGATGGACATGTGATTGAAGTGGGAGGGTTTTGGATCGATTGGAAACGATCACACATTCACGAAAGCCGATAGTGTCAACATATCCCGAAACTTGCAAAATCATAGTAGTCACCGTTTCTCCGTTGACCGTTAGCCCAGAAAACCAATCAAGCGGGATTGATTGTCTTCTGTTTGGGAGGGTTTTGGGTGCTGTGCAGATGGGTTTTGGGTTCAGGGAAACTAATACCGCGAGTAAGGGTAAGCTAGACAATTTGCCAGGGCTCACCATGCTGATTGAAGCTGCAGAGGCACCTGCAAGAAGAGCATCGAAGTCTGCAAGAGGCCGAGGCAGGGCCAGCTTTCGAAAGGTCTGTGGCTTTATTAAGATAATGGGGAATCAAATGGCAAAGAAAATGGAGATGAGATACAAGCTGGGGGGTTATATAGTGGCGCTACAGTGTTAAGTAAGGAAACCATAACCAGATTACATCCTATAATCTCTTATACAGTAGTTACCACTACGGACGGCACCAGCTCTTCGCAACATACCTACCTGGGGTTGAAGTCTAAGATCTAGTCTGGCTGCTGAGAGTCTGCAGTCATGTTGGGACGGTGTGGGGCATGTAAGCTTCCTCTGCGTGGGATTCTCACTCGGAATGCCATGGAAGACAGCTGCAAAGAGTGAACGTGCACATTTGTCAGCATGATAGTCTGCTTATGCCGTAATTTGCTAAAACTTGCTCAGGATGTATATTACACCAACCTATGGCATTCCAACTCACCTACATGACAGACACTTTCTAGCTCCACGTACGTTGGCTCACTCACTAAACATGGTAAATGGCAGCTGCAATTGAGCTGTCTGAGGCTCTAAATGCTCCAAATATTAGGGACAGACGTGAAGAAACCAAAAGCCTAAACCCCAAACCTCTCAGGGCCTTACATGGCAAGAAATTCCGAGTCTAAATCATACACTCCCGCAGCTTCCATGAAACCACAAAAAAGATCCTCGTAATGTGATGATAGACTTCAACAGACGTCCTTGCAGGTTCCTTATGAAGTTGGAACCCAAACCCTCAACTCTAAACCCTAAACCGCAAACTCGAAATCTGAAACCCCAAAACCCGAAGGAGGGTACGCCCTGTCAGGCAAACAGCTTCAGCTGGTCAGGCCTGAATTTTTTGAGGGCTCAAGGCTGAGGGTTTAGGATTGAAGGTTTTAAGGTATAGGATTTAGGGTTTGGGGGTCTGCAACGTGTGGTATTCCTAGGGATTTTAAGTACTTAAGGTGGTGCCAGATTTCCTGCTAGGGTGTCGGGGTCAGGGTTTAAGATTTCCTTTGCTGTGTTTTGTTGCTGATAAGGCAAGGTGCGATGCGGTTTAGCAGAGGTCCTGCGGATGGGCGGGCTTGCTAACAAGATGAGTGTGAGAATGAAAGTCTGCTTTGGAAGCTTAGCAGGAACTCCACGAGAGTCGTGTTGGGGCAGAGAAGTAGCAGTCAAAAGGCGAGTAGGGAGTCTGTACCACGGGGGCCAGAACATCTTGGAACCAGACGTCGAGCTATGGCAGGCTTCCAAGGCATAGCATGATGCCAGCAAAGCAAGG